TTCCCTTCCTTCCTTCCTTCCTTCCTGCTTTCTTTCTTTCTTTCTTTCTTGTTTCCTTTTCCTATAGGTACATGCTGAATTGCAAGGTAGTTGGTGATTATCCGAGTGCTTTGCATTTAACTGAGTTCTAGCTTCCTATATATCTGTGAAGAGAGAACACACTGGCGGGGTGGGGGTGTTGGGGGGGCGGTTCGGTGCTTTGAAATTAGTTACGAGTTGCACTAAAACCCACTCTTTCATCATGTTTGCTATGTATCCCATGTGGACATTTAAAAAAATTCTAAATAACCTTTGACTTGAATGTAGAAGCCTGTGAAAGGTGTCACTCTGAGCTAAACGGTGAGACAAATGCTAGCTAATGCACAGCAATCCAACCTTTTCTTGAGTCCATCAGAAGAGAGATAAATCCAAAGGGATATGAAAAGGGATGGAGGGCTTGCTGCATAAATACTCAAGGAAAGCTACCATAAAATGAAGGGCCAGTAAATCCCTGTGGGTGGTCCCTAGAAATTGCCATGTACATGGGGAACTAAATTTTTGAAGCCACAGGCTCTTTTCAGAGCCATAGGCCTTTTCAGAGAAGACCGGTGGACCATTTAGAAAAATTACATTCTGTTTCACAAAGTCTCTTAATTTCTGTCATGCTAATTGCTGCCAGTTCAAAATGCCCTTTCTGTCCACATGACTTACAGTGGTTTTTCAAAGTTATTCATGCACATTGGTCTCATACATATCGTTTTACTTAAAAAGTCATTTTAAGAATGGGAATCCAGAGGAGCTTGAGAAGATGGCAGAGTAGGAGGAGACTGAGCTCACCCTGTCCCACGTTTACAATTAGTTATCATCCACAACAAGTAAATAAACCAGAGAGCAACCCAACGACTGGAAGAACGAACCCCACAACTAAATATAGGGAGGAAGCTGCATCTGAAAGCTTAGGAAGGTCAGAAATGTGGAGACAGGCTGCCTACAGGAACATGTGGGGAGGGCAGAGAAATGGGCCCTCGCACCAGGGAACTCACACGGAGGAGACTAATACCCATACCGTTTGGCTGTGGGAACTAGAAGGGCTGAATACCATGAGTTTGTATAACCAGTGGGACTTGGAGCCTGGAGCTCTGAAAGTCAGCTGTCTCAGCACTGAGCAAGTCAGGAGGGAGAGTGACAGCTGGGTCGCCACCCTTATAGAGAGAGCAGCCTGTGTGGAGAAGCAACATAAAAAACGGCAGTTTACACGATGCCAGGGGCAAAGGGGAGACAGAACTGTTCATACTGATTTTGGAGCGTGGTGGGGGACTTCTCTGAGCAGGAAGGAGCTGCAGGTGCCATTTTCCTCCCCTGCCCCGCAGCATAAACATAAAGCTGTCTGTGCACTGCACAGACACTTGCTACCTAACCTGCTAGCAGTGTGCCATGCCCCCCAGTTCTCCTGAGGACTTGCCCACTCCAAGCCTGCTGGCCGCAGCCCTGGGGTGGTGGGTCGGTCAAGGCAGATTTTGTTATAGCGGTGCATGCCCCACCCAGCCACTGGCTGTGCAGCTGCTTCCCTGCCCAGCCACTGAACCATGCCCAGCAGTGGTGCCTCCCCCAGCCATGCACCCACAGCCACTGATGTGGGTGGGGCCCAGCTGCACCCAGCCATTGCCTCCAGCCATACCCAGCTTCATGCCCATGGCCAACCCCACACACAGGCCCAGCCACCACAGCCCTTGGGGGAATACGGCAGAGGACCAGTGGCCCAACGCAAATTTTGCTCCCAAGTTCCCTGGTGGGCACGCCCCTCCCATCCCCAGAGCAGGCCTCCCGGGGTCCCGGTAACACCACAGAGAACAAGCACAGCCCACAACAGGCAGAGAGTCAGTGCAGATGACTGCCCTGAAAGGAAACTGACTCAGACACAAGAGCAGGGCATTAGCGACACACACAGTATACTCTCTGAAGTGCCAAGTCCTGGTCAACAGGGGACACAGCACTTCAGGGCACTCTGCGCCTACCTCTTCACAAAGTCACGACTTTCAAGAGCAGAAGACGTAGCTGGCTTCCGTAACATGCAGGAACAGACACAGAGAAGCAGACAAAATGAGGAGACAGAGAACTTTATCCCATACGAAAGAACGGGACCAGGCCACGGCCAGAGATCTAAGCAAAAGAGATGTAAGTAACATCTCTGCTAGAGAATTTAAAGCAATGATCGGTGACGATACTCACTGAACTTAAGAGTGGAAGACACGAGTGAGACCCTTAACACAGAGATAAGGGGTAACATAGCGGAGATAAAGGACTCCATAAATGAGATGAGAAACACGTTTGATGGAATGAACAGCAGGATGGAAGAAGCAGAGGAATGAATTGGTGACCTAGAAGACAGAGTAATGGAAAGGAATTGTGCCGAACAATAGAGATAAAAAAGAATTACGCAAAATGAGAATAGACTTGGGGAACTCAGTGAGTCCATCAAATGTAATAACATTCACATTTTAGGAGTCCCAGAAGAAGAAGCAGAAGAGAGAAAAGGAGGCAGAAAGCTTATTTGGAGAAATAATAGCTGAAAACTTCCCTAAACTGGGGATGGAAACAAACATCCAGATCCAGGTGGCACAGAGAACTGCCACAAAAATCAACAGAGGCAGACCCACGCCAAGACATACTGTAATTAAATCAGCAAAATAGGGTGAAAAGGAAAAGAAGGCAGTAATTTACAAGGGAAAGCCAAAACCCATAAGGCTAGCGGGAGACTTTTCAAGAGAAACTTTGCAAGCCGGAGGGCAGTGGCATGATACATGCAGAGAGCTGAAAGGCAAGAATCTGCTGCCAGGAAGACTCTATCCAGCAAGGCTGCCATTCAGAATTGAAGGAGAGATAGAGTTTCCCAGACTAATGAAAACTAAAGGAGTTTGTGACCACTAAACCGGCCCTGCAGGAAGTAGTAAAGGGGACTCTGTGTGGAAAGGAGAGACCCAAAGGGACAGTATCAAGGTAGAAAAAAACCCACAAAAGCACTAAAAATGGACTATTCTGGTAAAAAGACAGTCAAGGAATTCACAAAATACAAGGATTTAAAATGTAACAACGTAGGGGCGCCGGGGTGGCTCAGTCGGTTGAGTGTCTGACTCTTGATTTCGGCTCAGGTCATGATTTGGGGTTGTGGGATGCAGCCCCACGTTGGGCTCCACGGCCAGCGTGGAACCCACTTCAGATTCTCTCGCTCCTCCTCCCTCTTCCCCTCCCTGCTCCTCCGTCACTACGAAAAATGAAAATAAAAATAAATAAAAACTAAAATGTAACAACATGTACCTAAAACATGAGGAGGAGAGGAGCCAAGAATGGGTTCAAACTTAAGTGACCATCAACTTAATATAGACTGCTATGTGCAGAAGAGGTTATACGCAAACTTAACAGCACCCACAAATCCAAAACCAATAATAAATAGGCAAAGAATAAAGAGAACGGGACCCAAACATGTCATTAAAGAAAATCAGCAAAACACGAAAGAGAGAAAGACAAGAAAAGATCAGAGAAAATCTTCAGAAACAACCACAGAACAGGTAATACAATGGTGATAAATACATATCTATCGATAATTACTTTGAATGTGAATGGACTAAAAGCTCCAATCAAAAGACATAGGGTGACAGAATGGATCAAAAAAAAAAAAAAGACCCATCTATATGCTCCCTACAAGAGACTCGTTTTAGGCCTAGAGACACCAACGGTTGGAAAGAAAGTGAGGGGATGGAGCAACACCTATNAGACACCAACGGTTGGAAAGAAAGTGAGGGGATGGAGCAACACCTATCAAGCGCGTGGATGTCAAAATAAAGCCAGAGTAGCAATAGTTGTATCAGACAAACTAGACCTTAACGGTTTCAGTCATATGTGGAACATAAGGAATAGCACGGAGGACATTAGAGGAAGGAAGGGAAAACTGAAGGTGGGGGGATTCAGAGGGGGCCACTAACCATGAGAGACTGTGGACTCCAGGAAACAATCTGACAGTTTTGGAGGGGAGGAGGGGATGGGGATGGGGGTACCCAGTGATGGGTATTAAGGAGGCCACGTGTTCTGATGAGCACTGGGTGTTACAAGGCAATAATGAATCGGGAATGCTACATCAAAATCCAATGGTGTGCTGTATGGTGACTAACATAACACAATAAAAAAAAAAAGGACTGTAACAAGAGACGAAGAAGGACACTATATAATAATAAAGAGGATACTCCAAGAAGAAGCTATAAGAATTATAAATATTTACGCACCCAACGTGGGAGCACCCAAATACATAAAAACAGTGAATAACAAGCACAAAGGAACTCATCGATAATAACACAATAGTAGTAGGGGACCTTAAGGCCTGAGTTACATCAATGAACAGGTGGTCTAAACAGAAAATCAGCAAGGAGCCAATGGCTTTGAATGACCCACTGGACCAGATGGGTTTAGCAGATATGTTTCAGAATATTTCATCCGAAAGCAGCAGAATACACATTGTTTTCAAGCGCCCAGGGAACGTTTTCCAGAATACAGGTGGACACGTTGACTCTGGGTCTCCAGAGCATCCTGGTTTCTAGCACATCCCGATCCAATGCCACTTGCTGCTTATCTGAAATAAGTTAATGACGTGGAATATAAAGTATTCCAATAAAAACATAACTCTTCTAAGATCTGTTACTGTCTTGAGGTGAAAACCAGCAGACAAAATGCACAACGAAATGGAATGTTTGAAAGATTTTCTGACCGAGGTCCCAAGGAGTTTAGAGGGCACTGGATTTCCCTCTCTGACTGTCCGATGTGATGTCACGTTCAAGGGTATGCAATCACAGGTGACACGGCCTGGCATAAGAGCCCCGCTTTCCTGCCTTGCATTTGGTCCAATCAGGTATGGAGGTTGCCCGTGACGTCAGGAAGCGCAGCCACTATAAATGGGCCAGCGCCCCCGCCCCCTCCTTCCCCCGCAGCCGCCATTGTCCTTCCTTCTGGAGCGTGCGAAAGGCGAGCCCCACATGGCGGAGCCTGGCTGTGAGACCTCTCGAGAGGAAAGCCTGGGCACAGCGGAAGAGCCCACAGAAGCTGACCCGAAGGGCCCGAAGCAGAATTCGCCAAGGGGCCAATGCCGCCGCCGCCACCGCCGCCGCCATCGCCGCCGCCGCTCCCACAACAGTTTCGCCACCTACTTCCCCAGGGTTCTGAAGCAGGTTCACGAGGGCCTGAGCCTCTCGAACAAGGCCGTGAGCGTCTTGGATTCGTTCGTCAAGGACATCTTCGAGCGCGTCGCCGACGAGGCCTCTCGCCTGGCCAGCTCCACCCAGCGCACCACCATCACCTCCAGGGAGATCCAGACAGCTGTGCGCCTGCTGATGCCCGGGGAAATTGGCAAGCACGCCGTGTCCGAGGCCACCAAAGCCATCCTCAGGTACACCTTCTGCCAGTGAGCTGCCTCGGGACCACCTGACCACCTTGCAAACCAAAGGCTCTTTTCAGAGCCACCTTACTTGGAGGGACAGACCTGTAGCTTTAAAAAAGTGGGACAAACTCTATGGTTTTTGTTCTTGCTGTGGCATTCTGTGGATATTTACAGCATTTTTACTTTGAACAAAACAGGATCAGCACTACTTTTAATCTGTATTGGGGTGCACTTTATTCCTTGGACAGCTGTGGGCTCTCCTTAACCATGCGGCATTTCTTGGGTTTCCCAAACACTCATTTCTGTTAGTTATTTCTGCAGGTCAGCCTCAGTGGGGGGTTGTTTTTGTTATAGTGATGTTACCTTTTTCTTTCTCATTCTCTCATGAGCATGTGGGGAATTTTCCAGAGTTTCCTTATGGGTGATATGGCAACAGATAAAGTGCAGAAGCTGATATAAGAATCCATCTGACCTCTCTTAGGTGGGTTATTAAAGAGATTTTAAAATATCTGAGGCAAAGTCAATCTCCTCTATGCCTTTATAGAGAAAAATATTTTCATATGCATTTGAAATTTATGCTGTTAACATGATATCATGGGTTCTTACTCCAGTTTTTAAATGGATTCTGCAATAAATTTATGAAAACTTCTGTCTTAATGATTTGTGCAGTGAATATTGGCAGATATTACTGACATAAGAGCTTTGGCAGTTCCCTTTTGTTTATTTTTTGTTTGTTTTATTTTGTTTTGTTTTATCAGGTCTTTTATTTCAATAGCAGAGAAAGCAGTACTGTCATACTTGTGATACTATCACCCTAGCCCTATACAATATATTTTAGTTTACAGAGGACTTTTACAGGTACTATTTTATCTGGCGTTTACAACAATGCTATTGTGGCTCAGTGGGTTAAGCCGCGGCCTTCGGCTCAGGTCATGATCCCAGGGTCCTGGGATCGAGCCCCGCATCAGGCTCTCTGCTTAGCAGGGAAACTGCTTCCTCCTCTCTCTCTGCCTGCCTCTCTGCCTGCTTGTGATCTCTGTCTGTCAAGTAAATAAATAAATAAATAAATCTTTATACCTAGTTTATCACAGAAGAAACTCAGGTCCAGAGGGCACAGAGTCACAAACCTTGTAAGTGCAAGATCAGTGCTTGGAAGCAGATCTGCACTCTCCACCAAGGCCCATAAGAAAATGGGGAGAAAAGCCATACAATTGAAATAATTTTCCTGGTGCTTAAGAAAACTGTATTAGGTTACTCCTTACCACCTCTCATTTAAATTAGTCATCTTCTGGGGCGCCTGGGTGGCTCAGTGGGTTAAAGCCTCTGCCTTCAGCTCAGGTCATGATCCCAGGATCCTGGGATCAAGCCCCGCATCGGGCTCTCTGCTCAGCAGGGAGCCTGCTTCCTCCTCTCTCTCTGCCAGCCTCTCTGCCTACTTGTGATCTCTGTCTGTCAAATGAATAAATAAAATCTTAAAAAATAAATAAATAAATAAATAAATTAGTCATCTTCTTAGTCTCGTACCCCCCACCCCCACCATTCTTACTACTTAGAGATTGAAAATATGGCTCATTCATTCACTCAATGAAATTCTTGGTATCTACTGTATGTCTGGAATAGACACTGCAAATGTGTCTGTGAGTTTAAGGAAAAAAAAAAGCCACGCTTGACTTCAGTTTGTATTTGCTTAGAGTCCGCTAAGGTTCCTGTTTATTTTATTTATTTATTTTGGGGGAGTTCCTGTTTATTTTTAAGAGTGTAATGTTTTCCAAGACAAAGCTGTTCTAGATATTTACTCTTTTGCAGTGCAGTCAGATCAACTAAACCTATATAGGCTCTTTTTGTAGTGTTTAAATCTTTTTAAAATTTAATTTCCAAATATTCACAAATACTTTTCGTCTGTAATATTGATAAGAAGCTTTCTGGTCACGTTCTGGCTCTAATAAGAATGATAGTAGCGTTTCATCAGCAAAGATGGTATTAAGATTTTGTTTGAGATCCATGTGCTCAGAATAACAATTTTGGTTTTCTAAGCCATTTCAGGTAACTTATTAGATATCAAACATGCCCTTTCCAAGTAGCTTCAGCAGCCATCGAGAACACTATTTTCTCTTGTTCTATTTAAGTAAATTATAGATTTGTTTTTCAATATTAAAATTTCCTTAAATTTGTGGAAGGGAACCCCTTCACTGGAGGCACTTCAAAAAAGTCTGTAGCCTGGAAATACGTATCGTGTGGTTTGTTTGCTGATGTCGTTTAGGCCTACCTTCCCCAATCAGAAGTGATCTGAAAGCTCCAAGTTCATCTGAGCTCTTTCATGACTCCCAGTTTCATCAGCATTCACGTCTATTTCTTAACCTCATGGAAATGCAAGCCCTGCACTAATCACCCTACTTCATTCTCCAACTCATTCCTCTTTCTTAAAAAGGAGTTGTTGTCACAGTCCCTGAGTGAGTGATTTTCTATCTTCTCACAAGAAGGGCTCCAAGATGCCCTAAGATTAAAAATGTCAATGTGTGGGGCGCCTGGGTGGCTCAGTGGGTTAATGCCGCTGCCTTCGGCTCAGGTCATGATCCTAGGGTTCTGGGATCGAGCCCCGCATCGGGCTCTCTGCTCAGCAGGGAGCCTGCTTTCTCCCCTCTCTCTGCCTGCCTCTCTGCCTACTTGTGATCTCTGTCTGTCAAATAAATAAATAAAATAATAAAAAAAAATGTCAATGTGTGTGCTGCCTGGAGCTTTCTGCTCTACCTGTCTTTAGAAGGTGCTCAAATAGGTTCACCCTGATAACAGTATCTATTCTGAGGGTGTGACCATCATGTACCCCGCTGTTAGTGATATTCTCCATCATGGACTAAAGTGCGTTGGAGAGCACTCAGTCAGCAGATCCAGTTTTTGCTTTTTCAAAATCCTGCGAGTTTATGAAATAAGAGTATGCTCGACTGAAGTACCCCTTTTTATTGGCAGTCTACTGATGTTAAATCAAGGTCAACCTACAAGGATGTTCCTTCCCTTCTCCCTCTCATTACATGCATGCTCTAGAATTTTCATTTTTGCCCAAATGTCCTGTATTTGAATTGGGCTCTACTTGATATCAAAAGTTGTTTGCTTTTGGATTTTTTTCGCATGTTACATTCTTATCATATTTTAAAATTCACACAAAAATTACGTTACAAACTGTTTAACCGATCTTCATGTTCAATTCTTTTTTTTTTTTAAAGATTTATTTATTTGACAGAGAACACAAGTAGGCAGAGAGGCAGCAGAGAGAGAGAGGGGGAAGCAGGCTTTCTGCTGAGCAGAGAGCCCCATGCGGGGCTGGATCCCAGGACCCTGGGATCATGACCTGAGCCAAAGGCAGAGGCTTTAACCCACTGAGCCACCCAGGCGCCCCTTCATGTTCAATTCTTATTAGAACTGGTTAATACAGTCATTTTGGGGTTTTATTTTCCCTTGCTTGTTACTTCTGCATTGAGGTATTCCTAACCACCTAATCTAAAATATTGCTCTCTCCTTCATCATGTATATAAATATATATATATGTATAAATATACATATATATAAGAAACATGTTATTATAATAGAAAAATTGTAATTGTTATCTACATATTAATGTAATATACATACATATTATATTTACTTATTTCATTCTCCATGGAATTATATTGCTCACAACCTGTTCCCTTTTTTCCTTACTTATTATCTTTGAATCACGCCAGGAATGGGAACTTCCTGAGAAGAGAGACGTTGTCTCATCTGCTGTCGTATATCAGGAGTGAGACCCATGTATGGCACTGGTAGGGACTCAGTATTTGCTGAATCAATATGTGAAGATGGATGAGAGCAGAGGTTCTAGAGTCCCAGAAGAGGCAGGGTTGGGATGGGTTAGGAAAGATGGGTTGGGAAAGAAAAGCCAGACTGCGGTGGGTTGAGGAGTGAGTGGTAGATGAGGAATGGAGATAGAAATAGGGTACTCTTTCAAGGAAAGGGGATACTGGTCTGTGAGTAGGAAGAGAGTGTTATGGATCACAGTAGTTTGTGTGTGTGTGTGTGTGTGTCTCTGTGTTTGTGTGTGTGTGTGTGTGTGTGTGTGTGTGTGTGTGTTTTGTTTTGTTTTTAGGATTGGGAGAGATATGACAATGTCTATAGGTACTCAGTAATAGTGGCCAAATCTCAGTTAATGGTATGGCTGTTATATTATCATCATCATCACCGTACCTCTACCGCAAGAATTTCCATAACACCCCTTCATCACCCCAGTGGACCAGTTCTCTATTCCTCCACTTGGGATGTAAGTTCTCCATCAAGAAAGCATTCTACTGAGCTCTGTCCTTTATAGGCTGCATGGCATCAGGCTGCTTGCTTAATTTCTCTGAAACTTAATGTCCTTTTCTCTTAATTGC